GCACTTTGCTTTGCTGACGCATGTTATTCCCAAACTAACTAAACAAGCTACTCCGCTTATCTGTGCTCGGTCTGGAGCGAAGAGAGGACGAGCAATTCACACAGCAACTTTGCGCACACAGTACAACTAGCCATCCGGCAGTGACGGCATGGGCAGCATAGGCACGGCGCTGCACGCAACTAACCAGGAGATGATGCATGGAGTCCCCGCAACCACTCCGCGTTTCAATGAAACTGTCAATTGTCGCTTAGTATGACATCCCTGTGGAGATCCAAACATATGTATCGCGAAAAGCCAATAGTGTACGTTCTGTCACTATTTCAGTCGCTGTGTATCGCGGATCCTGTAAGTTTTGAAATGCTCCTTGGCGCTGGCACAGAGCCAAGGAGCATTTTTTTTTCTGGTTTTTCAGAGGCCTGAAACATGCCTGCGACGCGATGGCGAAGAATAGCCCTTCACGACAGCAAGTCCTGCCGTCATCGCTCGAAAATAGCCTGCATGTGGTTGGGCCTTATAGTTTCGTATTTGTAGAAAGCCACCATTGTTTGGCACGGGCAGTTGCGTGACCTTCGCTCACTGAGTACTTGTAAGCTGCAGCGTTTCTACGCTCACATCGTTCGCAAATCCCGCTGTACCAAACAGATAATTAAAAAAGTCAGGAGACGCGCCGCACACAGATGGAAAGAAAAATAAAACGGCGCACGGCAGCAGGCGCAGGGGGTAAGGAGAGCTTAGAGGGAATCGGCATCATAAAAAACAAAAAGATCCAGCAGGAAAGCTGGCGCCCAGTGTCAGTTTGAGGGACTGCAGCGCAAGAATGTAGGGGGTGCGTTTATTACGCGAAAAAAAAAAAAATCCAAACTTCGATGACAGGAGTTGAGGGTGCATTTATTATACGAGTGCGTTTATTACGCAAGTAAATAAAGTAACATTTCTAAACGCTGTTTCAACATGAGATGGGCGCCTAACTTTACTCATGAAAAAAGACCCTCTACTGCCGCGTTTGAACCAGCAGTAAAACCTTCATTTAGGCCTACCAGCTTATTATCAAACACGCCGCGACAGCTCAAAGCATGGAGAAAGAAATACAAATACCAAAGAACACCTACCACTTTAGAGAACAAGAACTGCATCTTTGGGCTGTTGTATCGAAATAACATGCAAATAGGTAGCGGCGGCGTACTGAACTGAAATACCGCAAGGCGAGATGGCGCTGGTTGTAGTACTATCATCATCGATGAACAGATGCATTTTTTTTGCTGCAAGTTGGGGGGATCGCTGCTGGTTCGCGCTGCTCGCTTCCTCTGGTATTTTGTTGTTGTTTTTTTTTTCTCGTTGCTAAATTACGGTTCGCGTGTGTAATTATCCTCAGGTGACCTAACTGGCCCCGACTGGAAAAAACTACGTCAATCAAGTAAGGTTTGCATCGTTTATTGTGAGTATCCAAGCCGGTACAACCAATATATACGGTCGGGTCCCAACAAAACAAGTCCCAGATACATATCAAAAGCTTTCAACCCATGTATAAAGACTCTGCGCTCGGCAGAGCTGCGCAAGTGAACAACTCGCATCCCAAACAACAACTGACCTTTATTATCACCCTTTGTCTCGAAGGTAACTTTCTCGTGTGGGCGCATGCGCTCTCTGCCCCGCACACAGAAGCACCGCTTTGCGTCACCACAGGACTCCCCCCTTAGTGAGTGCGTGCACCACGGCCGCACTCGGACGACCCAATGCGGTTTATAAGTTCATGCACACCGGGGGTCTCGTACACCGTCCACTCCACGTGAACCGTTTGAGAACTCGTTGGGGCTATACTACGTGGTCTTCCGGGGGTACCTGCGAAGATGGAGCTCGAGGTGGTGCAGGTGCTTCGCTGTCGGAGTCTACGTGTGCTGGTTTTACACAATCTAGAGAAACCACGTCGTGACGACCACCTCTGCCGATTGTAATGTGCTTGTCTGCCCGTCGTACGGGGGCCGGAGTGGACTCTGTTTGCATCGTGCCTCTTGAACACGTGAGAGCAGGAGGAGAGTTCCCCCGGTCTACGCAGACTGGCTGGGCTGCAGGTGGACGCGTAGGAACAGCGCGTAGCTTGCTCATGATGTCTTACAGTCGCATGGCGTAGTCCGCGTTTGCGTACACGTTCTTGTCCTTACTGGTGGCGAAAAACTCCCCTGGAGGCATCCAATATCTGCTTTCAGAGTCGTCCTAACGCCAAACAGAACAAATGGTAGTGCCTCTACCAAACTGTGACTTGCAGTAGCCGTCAGGCCTCTCTTCAGATGGCGATGAAACCTCTCCACTATACCGTTGCTTATCGAATGGCAGGTCCTTGTTCTGATGTGGGAAGTACCCAAGAGCCGGGTGACGCTTGCGAATAGGGTGGACTCAAACTGTGGTCCGTGATCCGTAGTCACGGTTGCCGGCACTCCGAAGCGGGCCACTCAGTGGAAGATAAATGCGCGGGCGACGGTATCAGCAGTCATGTCTGGAATGGGCACGACCTCCGGCCATCGCATGAAGCGATCGATGCAGGTTAACAAGTAGCTTTGCTTCTGACACAACGGCAGTGGTCCCACAATGATAACATGTACATGGGCAAATCGACAGTCCGGCAGAGGGAAGGATGCCAAGGGGGTCACAGTATGTCGCTGAACTTTAGAGCGCTGGCATGCGAGGCACTCTCGTGTCCAGTGTCGGACATCCCGGCTTATTCCTGGCCACACAAACCTCGCTGTGCATAGCCGTTGCGTGGTTCGAATCCTGGGGTGCGCCAGGCTGTGCAGCTAGTCAAAAATGCTGCGACGAAGGTTCGAGGGGATGAACGGTCAGGCCCTGCTTATAGACATGTTACAGCGTACGGATCCTGTGGGTTCTGCCAACCATTTCAGCTTCAAAGCGCTAGTTGAAGACGTCAGTAGGCGCTTTAATTCTTCATCACTGCGTTGAGCCGGCGTAAGTGTGGTGAAGTCCACGCCGCTCGGCAGGCTGATGGCATTCACTGGACCGCGCGAAAGGACGTCGGCGGCAGCATTATCCGTGGCCACTAACATGGCGTGTATCTATCGTGAATTCTGCGATGTACGACATTTGGCGGAGCTCTCGTGCAATGTGTGCATTCCAATCAGAATTCGCGCGCAATGCGTAAATGAGTGGCTTGTGATCCGTGAGCACAAAAAAATCATTGTCCTTCCACATAATGTCGAAAATGCCGGATAGCCGCATATATGGCCAGGAGTTCCCTACCAAAGGTGCTGTACCTTCGTTCGGATGGGCTCAGTTTTCTAGAGAAGAAGGAAATTGGTCGCCACACTCCGTTCACCCTTTGCTCCAACACGGCTCCAATCACTGCATCGGAGGCGTCCACCATGACACATTGAAGAACACCCGGCTGTGGGTACGTGAGCATGGTAGCATTTGCGAGAGCTTCCTTAATCATCATTTGGAATGCTTGTGTGGATTGGTCGTTCCACTGAATGGCAGTTGCCTTAGATCCCAATGCCGCAAGTAGGCTGTGGAGAGGGTGAAGGATGTTGGCGCATCTCGGGATAAACCTGCGGTAGAAATTCACAAGTCCCAGAAACTCTCGAAGCTGGCGGAGGTTTTTCGGCTGTGGAAACTGCTGTACTGCTTTCACCTTGTCCTTTTAGGGCTGTACTCCGGCACTTGAAATGCTGTGGCCCAAAAATGATAGTGTCGGTACCCCAAGAGCGCACTTTGCCGTATTGATAACGATGCCGTTGTCGCTGAATATCACCCTTCGTTTCGAAGGTAACTTTCTGGTGCGGGTGCATGCGCTTTCTGGGACGTTTCTCTGCTATATGAAAAAAAAAACAGTACCACATTGAATGAACACAATCTTGCTTATCACGACAGCATTCATGTGTTTGAGGAAGCAATGCTGCAACCGCTCATCACCTTTATGATTATTTATTTTAGGAGCCCATTGAACATATGTGCAAAGCTAATGCAATTGAGTGCAGCCTTATGATCTTTGGCACATCTTTTTGTAAACTTGTATGAGCTAAACACAGTTAATTAAGACAAACTAGTTCTGGGTGTAGTTTGTAAACTGTGTCACAAGGCACAACTAAATGTCGGAAAGCCTGTTAATGCCCCTCACTGCGGGGGGTGTTGATTTTGTAATGCAATTAACAATTTCTGACAATTCACATGCCAACCATGGAATGTTCATGAGTCGTACAGTAGTGGGCAAATTTAGATTGATTCCGGCTTCCAGGGGTTAAAACAAATGACATTGTAGACTCGCAGGAGACAAGACTGCTTGTCGAAACATTTGCTCTCACACCTAGTGTTCACAGATTTTTCATATTTTCAAGCTTCCATGTTTTAAGGGTCACCTGCACCAATGCAAACTGATTCACAGCTGTGCACAAGAAGTTCAGAACTTGTGCGGCACGAGTTCAGCAGTGCGACATCACAAGTGAATGACAAGGTGGAATCCTTATTTCTGTTCTCTTAATTCAATGAGATGCAAACATCTTGGCAAAACACGGCGCACTTGTAGAGACGGGTACGGCAACTACGTCTAATGCTATGTCGTTTGTTAGGCTGTGCGTGCCGTGCGGCTGCACCAAACCAGCCCCGTCAGAGTAGGAGGTGCAGGAAAGTCATAAACTAGTTATAGTGCTGTACCTCTCCTGTGCTTTTTTTTTAAACGAATGGCACAGTTTAGAGGATGTCCTTGCTGCACCACTGAAACGAATGGCGAGGTGCAGAACCTCGTAAAATGGATCATGTGGTGCAGGCGAATCGCACAAGCCCTTAAGCACACGAGCTGTGGCTGGGATCAAACCTGTGTAGTTGAGCTCAGCGGTGTCACACAATCTAACCAAGCGTGTTTCAGTTTCAACGTCATCAAAGTGTAGATTCCATGCCATGGTAGACAGCCAATGCTTGTAGCCAATCTAAAGCACCCCTCAACGATATGCGTGGTAAAACACTCACAAATACAGCATTGCATGTGTAGGTTCGAGATGACCTGTTGTAGCGGACGTTCAGATGTCTCAATGTGCTTGCATAGTGGACACTCAAGGGTAGTCAACCTGTCGTTGCATGGCAGTCTGTAAAAACAAGTAACATCAGCAGATATCGATAAGCATAATCAATGCATAAAATTTTCCAAAGTAAACAAATAAACTCAGTTAACTAGTAAACAGCAGCTATTTTATACATATATGTAATGGTACCTCATAACACATGTAACGCTCGGGGCTGCTTCTTCGCAAGGCGTGTCACGTAGCAGGTTTCTCGCCCATTGTACACAGCTGCTTCCATGTCAGATAGGCCAGGAGCCTGTGGCAGAAAAAGAAGTATTTCTGATTTATGTGACGTTTTCTTTGTCACACTATAGTAAAACCACACCCTTAATTATGTGATGCTTCTCAAGTGCAACTGTGGCAAACTGTTAACTCGTAGGTTTTTTCAACTAATATATGGGCTAGCTATGAAGGCACATGCGAGGCGACAGTGATGTATTTGCCTTCTTTCATTGCAACAGCCTGGTTTGTGTTGCCTGGCGATACAATTTCAGAATTAACTATTGAGTCAGCGACTCGTTCCCACGTGAAGCCGCCCCCGTATGTAACGCACGCTTTTCCAGAACAGATTGACACGTTAAAAATTTTTGAAATTTAATCTTGCAATGTGCTGCCACTGTGTGACGCCTAGCAGTCATTGGCAAAAAACTGCATATGTTGAAATGAACCAACTAGCCCAGCAAGTAACCGTTCTCAGAAAACTGAAGTTGTTTCAACTAACCGGCTCGTGATTCTCAGGATTTGCAATGGGTGTTCATCTGATAAAAGCTTTAACAGCCACTTCATTCCCCGGAAGTCACTTAAATTCCCTTCACGAAAGCATTTGAATGAGTCAAAATAAACATAACGAAAGAGAGTGTGTCGGCCGGCAATGGCTCAAAATATTTACAGCGTAACGAAACAGTGCGAGACACATCTGAGCGTACCGCGAGCCATTACCTGCCATCATATATTTTGAAATGAGGATAATGATGTTGATAGGCTGCTGCTGACTACAAGTCAGCGGGAGCAAGAACTATAACAAAAGATTGATGACGCAGCACATGTTTAAGAAAAGCTACTTCCTATAAGAACAAATTATTTTTTATGTGTAGCGGTACGCAAATATGTAGTATTTGATCATTTTAGAATTGAAACTTGGCCTCGATGAGGGCACCCCTACAACAAAGTGCAATAGCGTGAATGGCGGCAGCCCACGCGCTGCATAACAGAGGGGTCAGTAGATCCACTTCGGTTGTTTGAAGCCGGAACGCGCCACAGTTAATTTTTTCGCCCCCTACAGATGATCACTTAAAACTTGAGATTTTCCGAGGCCTGCAAATACTACTCATTGTCGCGCATTGCGAGGAGTGGGGAGGAGAGGCCGTTACGTCACATTTCATGAACCTGGAAAGAGGGAAGAATGGAGGACTCCTCCTTGCAAGGTTGTTCCCGCCTCTCCGGCGGCAAGCCACGTGAGCAGATGTCGTATGCCAGTGCTGCTGCCATATAATATACGAGCTGGAAAACCGAAACACTAATGCCGATTAATAGCAAATGTGCTGTGATACGCGCTTGTAGAGTGCCTATGTCCCACTTGCAGCCTCATTACGGCCCATATTAGGCATCTACAATAAACTTGCAGTGTTGCACTTCGTGCTTATTTCGCTGAAAGAGAGCAACGGCACGAATCGGCCGGATAATCACAACGGACAGGCCGTTTTCTTCTGCAGATACGGCAAGTTCGGGTCACGGAGCATAATGTAACAGTTAAAATGTCTAGCTGTTTAGCCATATGAAGCTTCGTCTCTGAATCATTTTCTGTTACGATCCATGCGCATGAGTAACGTGCGCAGTAGAGCGGGACCACATAAAAAAAAGCTTGGCCAAAGACGAGGCTACCTACGAACAAAATGTAAACAGATGTAATAATTCAAACGAAAAATCACCTTGCTGTGTCAGGCACGTGTGTAATTCCTTACTCAGCAAGCTCCGGTGAGCACAGTGGGCCACGTACTGCTTTCGGATAGTTGTGGTTGTCGTACACGTGAATGGCTCACCACCATTAGAAGCCGTAGGCCTGCCGTTCTCACCATAGATTGATTGATATGTGGGGTTTAACGTCCCAAAACCACCATATGATTATGAGACACCGTAGTGGAGGACTATGGAAATTTCGACCACTTGGGGTTCCTTAATGTGCACCTAAATCTGAGCACACGGGCCTACAACATTTTCGCCTCCATCGAAAATGCAGCCGCCACAGCCGGGATTCGATCCCGCGACCTGCGCGTCAGCAGCCTAGTACCTTAGCCACTAGACCACCGCAGCGGAGCGTTCTTGTTTTCGAATTCTACCCTTCCATGGCTGAGGCACACAACAGCTAAGTGCCAAAGGAAAACAGCGAAGCTACGGTGCCTATTATTTTCGAAGTGGTCGCGAGCTTCATAAACAACCGCTTTCTACCGTAAGCGATATGAACTACACTCGCAACCATGAGGACCGACGCTCACTATAGGCTTTTAACCCATTGCATCATTTCTAAAATGCAAGAGCTGCATAAAAATGCGCATTTGGAACTCCAGCCGGCTCTTTCAACAACGTGCTCATATGGTTGGTGATGCAGAAGACACAAGACAATGGCGTGACCAAGGCATACCAGAACCCCTGCAAAAGCATGTGACTTTCGCCTCACTTTTCGCTCTGCAGTCAAATGCAGCTCGGATAGCGAGGGCCATTCCTTAGCTTTCTTTCCTTCATAGATGAAAGTCTTGTTCCGAGTAAAGCGCCACTGGATAGAACTGGATGAAGGTGTCCCTCCCAACTGCACGTTGTCAATGCATGCCTATTTATTCACAAATGTTGTTTACTGTATGGTAGAGGGATTTGTAGAAAACTGCAATCACATGTTGAAGGACACAATTGAGCAGGACCTCACTTATGATTGCTCATATATCTCACAATGGTATATATAGATCGATCGAGTCACATATTAAGAGGTCCGCAATAAAATCCACAGTTTCTGCTTATAGGAGCTATCTGTAATTGCGACTATAGTACTTGAGTTTTGGTTGAGCAATACGAGCTTTACATAGGGGCACACTGCACGATTGAGCCAATACCAGTTGGATGTTGATGAAGTTTGATTTCTGGTAGTATTCCAGGTGTAAAGTAGTCATTACAGTTTCACCAACAGTGTAAATTCTTTCAGATAGTGCTGTACGCACAAGACCCACGTAATTGCAAGCATCTGCCGTCTTTCCAAGAAAAGCAATCAAGATGCTTCACGGCCGATGCACAATCTACGAATTTTGTAATAAATAGAGCCCAGTTTCTGTGCTGAGCTTCTTCAGCTATATGAATCACAGGGGTCCACTGGCAACTGGAAACAATTGGAACCAGTTGCCAGTGGGTCTTGACTGGGATACAGTGGCTAGAATGGGGAAGTGTGACGAGCGGCAAGCGGTGCCAACGGACTGCACTGAAGCCTCCACGAAGGAGCCGGGTGGCGGTGCGCGCATTCATTTATACGTTGTTTGCCCATTTCTGACAGTTTCGCCGGGCGGGTTCGTCTCCGATTCTTTTTGTGCGGTGGCACTCTGACACCATGACAGTATGCACTCTCATGGCGCGAAAACGAAGTCATTGCTTTGTCCCGGGGTGCACTACAGGCTACAAGTTAGCTGAAAAGAAGCATGTGTTGTTCGGTGTTCTAAAAGACAAAGCTCTGTTTGCGCAGTGGCGGAGAGCAATCCCGCACGCTGACAAGCTGCTTCAAGAAAACTCTGCTGTGTACGGGCTGCTATTTGACGAGAGGTACATCTCTCGGCACTTTCAGTACACTGTGAACGACAAAATTGTCCGCATTGAAAGGGGTAGGCCCATAGCCGTGCGCAGAATTACCGTTCAGGGGGGAGGAGGGGATACTGTATTTAACCGTGGCCCGCCCCCTAGTCTTTAGGTTAATTATAGCACCCCTCCATTATAACAATGTATGAGGCAGATTTTGCACCCCCCCCCCCCCCCGTTTAGGAGACTAAAAGAGTGCCCCGCCCCCTGGTCAATGTATAGAGCAGCTTTAGCGCCCTCTCCCAAGCGACTAGGGGGGGGGGGGGGCGCCCACCCAGTCTCCCTCCTTCGTGTGGACGCCTGTAATTAGGCCTTTTGGAGAAGCTCTTCACATTTGTAAACGCCCTTAAAATCCCTTTTTCAATGTGGTTTAGCTACAATGAGCTTCACAGTGACAGCTTGGAAGAGCTTATTTTCTGCTTGCAAAAAAAAAAAAAAAAAATGTCACACTGGGCTGCCCACAACATGGTCCGAGCATCACCAATCAAGTGACCAAGTTTTTCCTGCTCACCCATTTGCATTTTTACACAAAGGCACTCCACAAGGAGCGAGCGATTTCCCGTAAAAAGAGAAAGTACCTGAAGCTCAAGCGCGTTGCAAGAGCTTGTTTCCTGCTTGCAAAAAAAAAATGTCACACTGGACTGCGCACAACCAGGTCCGAGCATTAACAATCAAGTGAGCAAGTTTTTCCTGCTCACCCATTTGCGTTTTCAAACAAAGGCACTCCACAAGGAGCAAGAATCTTCCCGTAATAAGAGAAAGTACCTGAAGCTCAAGCGCGTTGCAAGAGCTTGTTTCCTGCTTGCAAAAAAAAAAAAAAAAGTGTCACACTGGGCTGCACACAACCAGGTCCGAGCATTAGCAATCAAGTGAGCAAGTTTTTCCTGCTCACCCATTTGCGTTTTCAAACAAAGGCACTCCACAAGGAGCAAGCATCTTCCCGTGAAAATGGAAGTACCTGAAACTCTGGCCAACGGAAGCAATGTTCTGTGGTGCGCTTGTGAACTATGAAACTTTTTTTCTTAGAAATAAAAAAAAAGATGCATGACCAACTATTAAGAATTCATTGTTGTAAACAAATAGCGAGTCACTACTCAGAAATGCGTTGTATGACTAGTGTGCAAAAAATAAAAGATTTTCATCTGGATACCGCTCGTGATTCTCGTCTGTGTTTGACGCTATGAATTAGGGGGCTTTATTTACAGATTAGTGCTTGAGGAAATTATGCTTTGCCGTCAAAGGAGTTGCAAGCAATGGCTCACAACTGAGTTCATTGTTGTACTCTTCTATCACTTCACATCGATAATATGTTTCAGTGCCATCACGCACTCACTTTCAGCGCCTTGTCGATATTTCAGTTAAGTCGCGCACTCGAGTAGACATCCTGTAATTCAAGAAACTAATTGACATATTTGCTCGGTCACCATT